GTGTCATACTGTCTAACTATACTTTAAATACTACAAAAGCTATTTCTCTTCCTCCCACCTCCCACCAGAGGTGGGGAGGTGGGAGGTGTAGAAGAAATAAAACAAACTCTTATTAACTTTTCGACCCCTGAAAATAATCTTCGTGAAGCATATCTAAAAAATAATCAATTCGGTTATTACTTAGCATCCGCGCGCGCGGAGCGCACGCTAGGATGCGTCTCCCCTGCTCCGCAGGGGGACGCTGGTGGCCCCCCTTTTCTTCGGGGGGCGCTCCCGAACGACCCTCTCTCAACTTTATTGAGAGAGGTTTTCTTCGGGGGGGGGCGAGAGGGGGGAGGGGTGTAAAGGGAAAAGATTTTAAACAGCCCCCCTCCGGGTAGGGTCCCCTGCCCTGCGGGGTAGAGAAGTTGTTTATCATATGATCCTTTCTAAAGAACATCTTACTGAAGCAGGTAAATTAAAAATTAGATTGATAGAATCTGAAATGAAAAGTAATAAAGAGTAGTTTTTCGACCAAGGCACCATTTTAATTTTATTGATTAAATAAATAGCGGGGGGGCTCCAAGTTTTTTTCGAAGAAAAAAAGAAAAAGAGCGCAGCGCGCCCCCTGCAGAGGGCCGCTGCGCGGCCCTCCGCTTTCCATTTTTTTACGACAGTATATACATTTATAAACTAAGTGCCTTCATTAAACTTTTCTATATGCTGGAAACACCTAAAGCCTTAAGTACGTGGGTTCACCATGTGAAAATCTTAATGGATATTACAATGGACAATCAGCAGGGAACCGATAGATTTATAATTATCTTAGTAGGATCCTCAGAGACTATACGTCAAGAACTAATACGTTATAAGTAGTATAGTTAACCCATTAGTTAAGATATAGTCCAGCCGACTATAGAAATATATCAGGTTTTTGACTTATTTAGGAAATCACACTAGTGCAGTTCAACGTGGTCTTAACTTAGGAGTTGCTTTATTTATAGTAGTGCGCCGTGGAACCTTTAATCGTCGTGAGTTGTTATCGTCAACTCGATCGTCTTTTTCATTTATACGATCATAACACTGAAGTTAGGCCGAGGGGAAAGCCCGGAGCTGAACATAGCATCTTCAGAAAGGGGGGCAGGGACAAAACCGTTAATGTCTAGTAACCCCTCGAGTTATTCTTCTCCAAGGTAAGGCCTATAATGGTCGAACTTCGCTTGCCAGTAGCCTCAAAATAAGGGCCCTCCTTGACGGGATAGGGAGAGTATTACGATAGGGTGATCGATACTATGTCACCCAAAAGAAAAACGGTAATATGCGTTGGGTAACAAACTTAATTAAGGGAAGGAACGGAGTACCTAAAGAGAAGCACGAAGCGAACAATTTCAAAGGGAACGCGGGATCACCTAAAGAGGAGTAATCCATAAGGTGACGGAGGAGTAATAGTACCCGTTTTAATAATACGACTCAAGTAACGTTGAGTGAAGGGGAAGTACTCTATACAATCGACATTTGGGGGATGGCATACACTGCACAGGATGTGCTGGCCCTATAGGCAAAGTGGATGTTTCTGTCCGCTCGAAATCACCTCCGCCCCCTACCCCCCCTCCTCCCCCCAAACTCGAGAAATAGAACGAGAATAAGGTAAGAAGAGAATGGGGGGGAAGGAGGGGGGGTAGGGGAGGGGTGCTTGGCCTTTGGCCATGCACCCCTCCCCTGGCTAGGCAGCCTCACCACAGCCCATTACCCTGGCAGGGTAAGGGTCTGTGGGGAGGCTGCCGGCGAGTTTCTCATTTATTTCCACCCCCCCCCATAACTACGAGTAGTAGTATATGGGGGGGGGGTGAGGGTCAGGAAATAAACGGGAAGGAGGGGTTTTGTCAGGAGGTCGGGGTAAGTCGGTTTGGAGAGCCGTATGATGGGAAACTATCACGTACGGTTCGGGAAAGGGTGGCTGTCATCCTTCCGGGTGCAGTTGATCTAGTTCACTCTGAAGCATTATTCTTTCTAGCTATATTTTGGGCCTTTTTCCATAGTGCATTATCTCCAACTGTTGAACTAGGAGCTCAATGACCTCCTATGGGAATCAACGCAATTAATCCTTTTAATAAGGTCAAAGGATCAACTGTTTTACTTATATTATCTGTTATGCCAGTTACCCGTAATTGTGCTGACGGTAATGGTTTAAACCCATATTGAATTAGTGGGTTTTCCGACGCGGAATCTACATTTATAATTTCCATTCGTAAAAAATTAGACTTAAAACTAAAGTGATCCGTGGAGGCTGCGTTTTCGACCAAGGCCAGCATTAATAAGAAAGATCTAGGGATCTTAAAGAAAATTCAAACTTACTTCGGTGTGGGAAATATCTTTTACAATAAAAAAGATAATTGTTACCATTTTACAGTTGCATCAATAAGAGACTTGACTAATGTAATAATCCCTCATTTTTTGAGATATCCTTTACTTTCTCAGAAACAAGTAGATTTCTTTTTATTTAAATCGGTTGTTGAACTAGTTAATGCCAAGGAGCATCTTACTCTTTTAGGCTTACAAAAAATTGTTAATATTAAGGCTAGTTTGAACAAAGGTTTATCAAATTTTCTTTTTTAATTTAAAAAAAAAAAATCAAAAAGAAAAGCCGAGCGGCCCCCTCTCTCAATGAGAGAGGGGGGGGTGCATCCCCCCTCAAAACCCCTCTTCCTCTCTTAATATTTTTTTCATAATAAAATAAAAATAATAGATAAAAAAAAATATGAGAGAGGGGGAGCCGGGGGGGACCAAAGAGGGGGGGACGCTTAAAAGAAGCGGGGGGGGCGCGCAGCGCGCCCCCCTGCAGAGGGCCGCTGCGCGGCCCTTCGCTTTCCCTAACTGAAGTCCAGTCCCAAGACCTCCTCTTCAAGTATCAGAAATTCAAGATCCAAATTGACTAGTGGGTTTCGTAAATGGTGAGGGTTCTTTCCATATAAAAATTGCTGTATCTAAAACTAATATTATAGGGTATGCAATTAGATTGAAATTTAGTATTGGTCAACATTCTCGTGATTTTGAATTACTTAGTAGTTTTACTAGGGCGTCGCCCCCCCCACCTCTCGAACAGCCCTCACAACGCGCTTTCAGCGCGTTGAGAGGTCATATTTTTTTTCTTTATTATTTTTATTTTATTATTAAAAAATATTAAGAGAGGTGGGGGTATCATAATTGTGGATATGTTATGCTGAACGCTAAATTACCTAACTGTTCTTTCACCGTAACGAGATTTTCTGATGCGGTAGATACTATTATACCGTTTTTCGAAAGATATCCTTTGGAGCCGGCCGGCCGGGATACAAAAAAAACCAGATTTTTTGGATTGATGTCGAATTGCGAAGTTAATGGCAGACAAAACTCATCACACTAGCGCAGGGTTAAGTTTAATAAGAGAGATTAGAAATGGAATGAATCAAAGAAGAAGCGAGTAATTCAAGTTATTAATCCTTTGTCAAAGGGGCATCGGTCGAGCCCGATGCGAAAAGAGCTATATGCGGGGAACTTTAAGAAAATCTACACTTAGGCATACTGGTCAGGAGGGTTCGTCTACCCCTACCCCCACCTTGGTCGGGGGGGGGGGGGCGGAGCCCCCGGGGGGGCTAGGGATAGTCAAGTAACAGCTAGGTTTTCAATTTAAACAATCCGCAGGTAATATTATATAACTGGTAAATCAATAAGAAAATTTTGGGAGCCGGGCCGCCGGGGTGGCGGTCGCGGCTCGAGGCCCCCCTCCCCTCTCACCAGGCGAAGGCCATCCACTTACTACGTAAGTGGACGGAGCCGGGGGGGGGGAGCCGGCCTAATAAATAAGGGGGCGCCGCCCCCCCCACCTCTCGAACAGCCCTCTCAACGCGGGGCTTTCACCCCCGCGTTGAGAGGTCATATTTTTTTTCTTTATTATTTTTATTTTATTATTAAAAAAATATAAGAGAGGTGGGGGACATATTAGGGGGGTACGAAAATGGACGGAGCCGGGGAGGGTTCTATATGGTATAAGGATACTTCTCACCTCAGGCGTCGCTGGCGCAGGAAAATTCATCATTATTATTTGTCTCAGTGTATAGGTAGAACCTCAACGATCACACGCTCTTGTATAAATTATCATGAAGCGACCGACCAAGGCGCGAGCCGGTCGTCTATTTTTATCCCCGGTCTCCGACCGAACACAAATAAGTCCTGGTGGCAACACCACCGAATTATCAGAGGGGTCGGTCGAGAACATAATGAATAGGTCACTCCGTCGGCCTCCGGCCACCTTCTGATATATTTATATATGATATGATCTAATCTATATTTTAATTAATTAATATAGAAAGTTTGTGCAACTAGCCTTCTTTACAAATACCCGATGAATATCAAGCACAAATACCCGCTGAATATCAAGCACCTCACCGGAGGTGTGTGCAATTTTTCGGAATGTAAAACTGGGAGGATATAACAAGAGTAGTTTTCCTAGAATAAATAAAGAAGACTATGAAATTTTATATGGGCTAATTTTAGGGGATGTTTTTATCTCTTCCTCCCACCGCCTGGGCGGTGGGAGGGGTAGAAAAATACTGAAAATGCTTCTTTAAGATTTGAACAATCTATAATTCATAAAGATTATCTTGAGCATTTATTCAATAAATTTCGCGGCCCTCTCTCTCTTCGAGAGAGAGGGATGCATCCCCCCCCCCCGGTTGCGAAGCTACCGGGGGGGGACGCTATTTAGGAACAAATAATGTGTCAATTAGAAAAGCGCTGCCCCCAACCCCCTCCGGGGATGGGGTTCCCCCAACCCCAGGGGGGGTAGAGGGGGGGGTAGAGGGGGTAGAGGGGGTAGAGGGGGGGGGGTGAGAAAATTATTTAATACATCCAGCCTTTATTTTGTTACTCGTCAATTGACGGCTATAACAGAACTCCATACTTTATTTTACCCTGAAGGAAGAAAAGTAGTGCCATTTAATATCGGCAGCCTATTAACAGAAAAAAGTTTAGCCTACTGAGCAATGGACGATGGTGATAATCATAAATCAGGTTTTATTCTTAATACCAGTGGATTTACTCTTAACGACGTTAAAGCCCACCTTTTCGGACTACCCTTGGGGAGCCGCCCCCCCTCAAAAATCACCCCTCTCATTGAAGATGAGAGGGGGTAGTTCGGGGGGGGGGTCCCCATGGGCCGCTTTTTTTATTTTTTTAAAAAAAAAAATTAAAAAAGAAAAGGGCCCTCCTCTTTTCGGACTACCCTTGGGGAGCCGCCCTTAAAATTGAGGCTCCCCCCCCCCTCAAAAATCACCCCTCTCATTGAAGATGAGAGGGGGTAGTCCGGGGGGGGGTCCCCATGGGCCGCTTTTTTATTTTTTTTTTAAAAAAATTAAAAAGAAAAGATTATTAGAGGCGCCGCGATTTTTAAGCGATAAAAATAATTGAGATATAAATACTTCTATTCATAGCAGAAATAGACTTTATATAAATTCTTCTTCTTCCTCCCACCTCCCCACCAGAGGTGGGGAGGTGGGAGGTGTAAAAATAAATTTATTGAATTAGTTAAACCCCATTTTCACTCTTCAATGTTATACAAAATTAATTAATTAATATGATATATTGTTTGAATTACCTTTATTAAATACAGTTATATTATTATCATCTGGTACAACGGTGACATATGCTCACCATTCTTTAATACAAGGTAATAGAGCTGGAGTTTTATATGGTCTAATAGCTACTTTAGTATTAGCTGTAATATTTACTATACTACAAGGTGTTGAATATTCAGTTTCATCATTTACTATATCTGATGGAGCTTTCGGATCTTGTTTTTACTTTTCTACTGGTTTCCATGGGTTAACACATATAGCCCCTACCAATCTTATTATAAGTAATTCCAGCCGCATCTCTACAGGGGCCCCCCCGTAGGGGAGCGGGGGGGGGGGGGGTAGGAATTGGCCATGTTAAAAGCTACGCAGTTTATACTAAAATTCACGCAAATACGCGCTGCTTCGCAGGGGGGGGGGGTTCAACTATCAACGCATGTTGCATGTTGAAACCCCCCTAAAATTAGCCCAAAACTTTAGTTCTTTCCCCGCGACTGCGTATGGTAATCTAGATAATAGCAAGAAAAAAGATAAACTTTATTTGAAAAATAATAATAAAATATATTCACAGCCTACAACTCCGACCCGGTCGTAGCGGGTAGGATAAAAATTTGTCAGGGGCGGCTCCGCAGCCCCAGCCCCTACAATGGTTTGCAGGATTTACGGATGCTTCTCATGTCTCCGACAAGCAGAGGGGTGGGTAAAACTTATAAAGGTTATAAGTTTATTTATGACTGGGCCTGCGGAGCCAGCCCTGTTAATTTAATTACACACACCAGGCACAACTTCGTGACCAAGGCGGGGGGGAATAGAGCTGTTAACCGTATAGTACATATAAATATTATACGATATAATAATAAGTTTGACAGAAAACAGGGTAAATTGCATATAACTCCTTACATTACCATATATTGCATCCGGAATAGCAAGCAGTAATGAGTTTGGCCCCCCCCCTCTCCTCTCATTCATTTCCCAGCGTCCCCCCCGGCTCCCGGCTCCTAATAAATCAGAGGAGGGGGGGGGGGGATGCATCGCGCGCGCTACGCACGCGCGACGCTTTGCTGGGAAATGAACGTAGGAGAGCCACAATTTACCCCAAATATGTCCCCCCTCCATCCTACTACTAGTGTAGTATGGATGGAGGGGCGGGCTCGTATTTGGGGGGGGGGGGGTAGGCCGGGGACCTTTTCATTTTATTTTTTTAATTAAAATGAAAAGGGTTTTATATGGACAATATGCAGCCAAGCATATATTAAATAAGATTATTTAATTTTCGTCCCCGAAGGGGCTTAAATAATAATCCGTATTAATACGAGGGATATATGAAGGTTCAACGACTAGTAGGTGAGTACTTTATTTACAATAATCCTGCCACGAAAGCCCTGCAATAGAATATATTGCATAATATATTATATTGGAGACATAGTCTGAACAATAATGTAAATTATTGAAATAAATTTTAAATGAATTTATGATAACACAATTGTACATGTTATGATCGGTACAGCCTTTATTGCTGTAGGGTTTTGACGTGTTTTTGCATATCATTCTACTGACTCGCATCACCTCGGACTAGAGTCTGCTATACTTTATTGACATTTCGTAGATGTTGTCTGGTTGTTTTTATATGTTTCCGTTTACTACTGGGGTTCATAGACTCTTTGCAAGATCCTTCTCTTTTCTTATTTATGGGTTTAATTAACATTAAACCTAAATCTAAAACAAGTCCAATTTCGACCGGACGTTAAATTAGCTGGGGTAAAAAAAATAATATATTTTTTTTTAGAACCCAACCTGATTTTGTAACAGTACAGAGAAAATCAGAAGCGCCGCCCGAACAGCCCTTGGGGACCCCCCCTGCATGCAGGGGGGGTCCCCATGGGCCGCTTTTTTGATTTTTTTTACTGGGGCGCTGGGCTCCCCTAGCAGCCTTGGTCGGGGGCGCCCGCCAAGGAGCTGGGCGGAGCCCTACCCACAAAATAAAAAAGAAAAGGGCGCTCCCTTTTCGGACTACCCTTGGGGACCCCCCATGCATGCAGGGGGGGGGGGTCCCCATGGGCCGCTTTTTTGATTTTTTTTTTAAAAAATTAAAAAAGAAAAGGTTTTAAACCCCCCGAAGAAAAGGTCTATAAAAGTACGACCAGGATGCACTAACGAAGTTGTGCATGCAGACCAAGGCTGGTAGCGATAAATAACTAATTTCGACCGGTCGTTATTTAATCTATATAAAATAAATTTATTACAAATCCTTTTTATTTAAAAATAAATAATATTAAATCTATTAAGCCTTGTAATAAAAAAAAATCACCAAGTTCTACTAATAATATTCAAATATATAATGGAGCCAGCACTAAAATATAAGCGCGGCCTTGGTCTAAAAATATAAGCGCGGACCAGGTCTGCATGCAGTGGCGTCTGGCCGGCTCCGCCACCATGCATGCAGCCATGCATTTTCCCCAGGTTGGCTATGCTTGTTTTCCTCACCCGTGCCTTCCTTGTCCCTGTCTCCACCCCATATCCTCCGGACACCGGTTAAAAAAAATAAAATTATTTTTTTTTATTACCGGCCGGCTCCTTGAAGCAAGCTTGAGATCTGGTCTGAATATAAATGCAGCACAATATGTGCATGAGGGCTAATTGCCGCGAAGCACCCAATTGGGGGGGGGGGGCGCAGCTTCAAGGAAGCGCCCCTTCCTCCCACCTCCCCACCAGAGGTGGGGAGGTGGGAGGTGTAGAAAAAGGGCTGCTCTGCGGGGGGGGGGGGGGGGTACAAGGAGTGCATGCAGCACATATGGTACTGCGTGCTGGAGCGGGGGAGGGGAGAGGAATATAAATTTTGTATGCTCAAGGTACCAATATTTGCTATCCGGTATCCTATCCGGTATCGCTAAGGTCTCGGAATCCGGTAATCGGCAGGATGTGGAGGCGGCCGTGTGGATGTGGTAGCATGGAGTGCATATAGCCTTTCCGGCCAGGTCGGATGGCCTTTACTATAGCCTCAGCTATTCCCTCCTGCTGCATTTATATTCAGACCGATCGCAAGCATGCAGCCCCCGAACCCCCCCCCTACCGTACTACGCGAGTAGTAGGTAGGGGTGGGGGGCTGGTATATGGCAGGCTGGGGAATACAAGGACAAGAAGCAAAAATATGAGTGCATGGCTGGGAAATTGAGGAGGGAGAGGGCTTCATGCCAGCATGCTTCAAGGAAGCCACCCTCCTCACTTGTATACCCAACGATTCCCACCCCCAGTTCTTGCACCTAATTCCGCACAGGGCTGCTAAATAAATAATGGTCTGCTTCAAATTTTAGCAACCGGTAATAAAAAAAAATAATTTTATTTTTTTTTTACCGGCCGCCCCCCCCTGCATGCAGGCTGCATGCAGGGCCGGCCGGCCGGCTCCAAAATAATGGTCCACCCACCGGCTAGTTCCAGTACCTGTTCCTCTTCCTGTTCCTGTTTCCCTGGGACTGCCTGCACCCTCTTCTCCGAAGCTGGACGCATGCAGAAAAAGGGAGGCTAGGGATCCTACGGAGGGTAGAACTGTCAAGGACAAGGAGCCGGGGAGTGGCTGAGGGACATGGTCAAGACCAACCAATTGCTCCGCCCTACCCCTACCCCCCTGACTCGAGAAATAGAACGAGATAAGATAAGAAGAGTATGGGGAGGGGGAAGGGGGGGTAGGGGGGTGCTGAAGCAGCACCCCCCTGGGTAGGCTGCCTACCCACAGCCCTTACGTAAGGGTCTGTGGGGGAGGCTGCCGGCGACTTTCTCATTTATTTCCACCCCCCCCAGCCCTTTCCAACCCCCCCCATCCAACTACGAGTAGTAGTTTGATGGGGGGGGGGCATGTGGGGGGGGGGTTGAGGGTCGGAAATAAACGGAAAGGAGGGGCCCCGCCCTTTTCATTTTTATTTTTTTTTTAAAATTAAAAATGAAAAGGTATTATAAACCAAGACTGGTCCATTAATAATGTTTATGAATGTTAAGGTTTATATAATTATTATAGATATTTGTGCCTAAGATTAACCTGCCTGGAGGGGGGAGCTGTGATTATCCGACCAAGGTGGCTTAAATTAATATAGCCCCACCCCCACTGCATGCAGACCAAGGTGTGTGGGGTTATGGCCTCCCAGCCTTGTTGTGGCAACTATATCTTTCTTCTTGAATTCCCTTTCGATATCCGCATGGAGAGCTCCGGCTACCATATGTCTATCTCCCGTGCAGATGCAGTGCTGCATGCAGCCTGCATTTATATTCAGACCTGGTCTATCCGCTAGTTCAGTACCTGTATCTGTACCTGTACCCGGGTACTGCATGCACCCTCTTCTGCGAAGGTGGACGCATGCAGACTGTATGCTGGAAAAGCCTGCATGCACAACTTCGTTAGGGACCCTAGGGACCCTACTGGAGCCGGGCGGGCTGCATGCAGTGCACACTTCGTAAGCAGCAGGCCGCAGGGATAATTAATATTTAATTAATAAAACCAACTAAAGTGAAAATAGCAATAATTAAAAATGTTTCAATTATTATTAAATTATATACATGAATACTGTGATGCA